AAAAAAAAAAAAAATCCTTTGGAGCATTTTGGTAAAGAATATTGAGTATATTATATTTTAGGAATCTTATAATAATATTGTTAATTTTTGCAGCGAATTGCATTTCCTAGCTTCTGGATAATGATTATTCTTTTGAAGGATGTTATGATGTACTTATATCAATATCTTTTGGTACAAGGTGGAACCAAACCAAGAGTTTCAAGGATTGGTATGCGAAGGAGCTAATGTTCTACCATCAAAGTTTATCGAGGATGCATTTCGGGATGGATATGGTACATTTTTTTGGTTAAGCTTACTAGCAATCTTTATGCTTATAGATCACCCATTCCAATCTTTTTTATGTGTTTTAAATTAATATATACCTCGATTGAGTCAAATCATTATCGTTTCCATGTTTTTGAATTTCCTGATGTTAGACCTTTCTTATTCTCATTTTGGTGTCAAGTTATGCAGGAAAAGTGGTTAACATCAGGCGCTTAGATGAAGTTATAAGCTCCATTAATAGTTGGTACATGGAGCGGGGTCTTTTTGGTATGGTGAGTTCTCTATTTATGATTATAATCTTTTAGACCCATCCTTCTATTATTTTTTATCTGAAACACCATGTCAGTATGTAATCCTTCGGGCATAGTTCCAAGATCTGCTGTGGAAAATTTTATTCTGGTACAAATCATCCTCATAATATTATCATTTCAGGTTTCGGGTGCGGAGATTCTTTCTGGAGGTATCATTAAGTTACAGGTTTCAGAAGCAGAAGTCAATAATATAAACATACGTTTTCTTGATAGGACGTGAGTAACTATTTTGGATGCTTATATGTCCTTTTGAACACCAACACCCATGAGCCATCGTAACTCTTATGCTTTTTTGTTCTCGTCAGTGGTGAGCCAACTATTGGGAAAACAAGGCCAGAAACTATAATTCGGCAACTCACTACGAAGAAGGGACAGGTATTTCTGTAAATTAGGATATCTGCTTAGATATGATGCCTGATCTTCAGCCTTGTTTTGATGCACTTAATGGAATATCCGTTCATTGCTTGATAATAAAGAACCACCAGAGATATATGCCACTTGTGACTTTTTCCTCTCTTTGCATTTTAGTTGCTGCTTTGAGACAGAAACACCATTATTTATTTATTTATTGTTGCAATGCTCATGCATAATATCATTCCCGATTTTTCTTTGGTGTGCTAATTAAAATATTTTTTTTCCTAGTTGGAGAGTGTAAAGAGATTTACACTTGTGTCTTTTTCTTTTTCCATCCTTTTGATTTTGTAGTTACTACTTTGGGCTAAAAACACCAAATTCTATTTAGTGTTCAATTGCTCACAGATGCAATCAGCATAAATATGTTTGAGTTGGGTGAGTTTCTCCTGAATGCTGTTGATTAGATGTAAACATTAATGTGTATTTTGTGTTACATAGGTCTACAGTATGATTCAAGGGAAAAGAGATGTGGATACAGTATTAGCAATGGGTATAATGGACGATGTTAGTATTATTCCTCAGCCAGCTGGAGGTAACATGAACTTGGATGCTTCTATCTATGAAAGCATGTGCAAGCTATGAACATCTGTGATGTAAATGGACCTAAAAGATATTATACTTGATACTATGTTACAGAAACTGACAAGGTTGATTTGACAATGAATGTTGTTGAGCGTAAAAGTGGAGGAGGAATCTCTGGTGGGGGAGGAATTTCGAGTGGGTATGTGATTTTATAACTATATTTATGTTGGTTTCTTTTCTAAAATTGAGGTATATATTTTTATTTTCAGTTATCTCGTATCTGTTAACTTATTGGGTTTCTTCCCTTTTTCCCCTCTTTGCAGAATAACAAATGGACCTCTAGCTGGACTAATTGGGAGGTAATATAGTTGCAGCGAACAGATCTTTTTGTAAACTATCTATACCTTTGCAGTTGTGTGACACCTTGTTCATTAATCTGAAATTGACTGTTCGACATAAAAGAGTATGAAATTCTAGTGGATGTATTGACTGGACTGGCGTAAATGTTTGCGAATGATATTATTTTGGTTTTTGAGTTAGTGTGTTATATTATTGTTCATTTTTTTTTTTTT